ATAGGGGGGAGTTGGCATTGACGCTTCAACTCCTCAAAGTTTTTAATATCTTACCAGTATTTTTCCAAAACCCTTGACTCAACTTAAAAATAGCCAAATGGTTTGCCTCCAGCCAGTTGGGGTTTTAAATCATGGAACCTTTTTATTTGCGTTATTTTTTTCCAGTTATCTGTGTGTTTTTAATCAGTGGCCATGATGAAAACTAATTGGTCTACTGTAATTGTGACACCCTCATGAATTAATTTTTTTGTCTTTTTTTTTTCCCATAGAAAATATAAGTAAATTTAGTACCACACAAAGTGAGAGATCCTCAATATGACTATATACAGTTACAAAGATTATTTCATGAAGCTTTAGAATTAATCCTTTAAATACTCACTGGATCTCCAACTTTTGGAAGATTTCTGTTCTTATTAACAAACTGCTGCAAAAGAATAATTATATTGTACAGTTATCCATCACAAGTAAGTCTCGTTTTGGGCATTATGCTAACCAAAAAGCAGTCTCCTTGAAGAATAGCAGAGTTTTTTAAAATTCCTATTACCACCTTGTAGATTGGTTTGGGGACAAACAGGCAATATATAGCTGGATGAGTCAGAATTCAAATCCTTGAGGCCAAGTTTACAATTCAGACAACATAGTGACAAAAATCATGAAGGTTGAATCTGACACCCACTGTGTATGTCATGGACTACACACAAATAATGTTTGGTGTGTATTTCATCTACATGTGTAACTTCATAATTGCTGGATTTTCTTCATATTCACAGCTTTAACACAATCATCTGTGTTTTAATGGTATTTTGTTTAAAATGAATGAAAACACATTGCGATCCAAATTTAGAGATGCTCATTCCATTCCATTAATTAAATAAATAATAAATAGGAATTTAGCATTGGACATTCCATTAAGTGGTTCTTCTTGTCTACTTTTTTGAGACTGATTTGGAACTAGAAATGTTGGTTTTTGTGGAGGGGGGAAAACCAGAGGACCCTGAAAAAGACACTATGGGCAAGGATGAGAACCAACAACAAACTCAACCCACATGTGACCCCAGATCCAGGAATTGAACCCAAACCACAGTGGTGCGAGGTGAGCCCTCTCACCACTGTGTCATCCCCACTCCCCTATCCAATCCTATCAATCCTGAATGTATCCTGAATGTAACAAAGCCAATTCTATGTGGTACCCTTCAACAACAACGACAATTTACAACTTGGATTATTTTTTTGTACCCAGAATATAGTGAAAGTTCATTCAGTTTTTTTTACCAAGATCATCAGTTTAAATTGGTTAAATCAATTCATTGTGACCACACTTTTTAGACCCTGAGGAAGTGTTTGCAGGTTTGTGTATTGTTAAATACCTGAACTTGAGGTGGGCTTTGTTGCAAAGTTAAGTTCAGCTGCTCATTTGTCCTCCTCAGTTCACTGAGTTCATTTTCTTTTTCACTCTGCTCCAATATCAATCTCTCAATCTCCTTCACTAACATTTCATGGCCGTCGTCTTCAGGAGAGTCTGATCGCTTTATCATTGCATACCCACCATTCACTTGGCCTTGTCGCAGTTTTTCATTTTCTACTTGCAGCTTGCTGATTTCTGCCTGGCGTGACTGCTCTATACTTCGCAGACGGTCTATTTCTTGCAAAAGACGGGTTTCATTTTCGTGGACTTGAAAACTTTGGGAGGATGGGGCACAACCCATTTTAGAATCAAGTTGTTATTAGACTGTGTATAATGGCCTTGCTTTCCCGTAAGTTTACTAACAGAAGTATCAGGTATGGAGGATGAATTATGCAGATTAAAATGCCTGAATAACAGGCACATCTAGGGTCACTTTTGACATCTCATGACTCTGAAATATAAAGAAAAATCAAGTGAAAAATTAGAGTCCACACTTCAACTGCCAGAGGTGATTACCATGTAACTTCTCTTTCAAATATCCATACATTTTCCCAGCAAATAGGTAATGAGAATACTCAGACTTATCAGATATTTGCTTGATCTAACACCAAATTCTCATAACCAATTTACAAGTGTGTCATAGCTGGAGGGAAGAATAGACTATCGAATCTTGGGAGTTGAAGGGCTAAAATTTTGTAGCATGGACAACTGGTCTGATAGGAAAAAGATGATCACACCTTATCACTGAGATTAGAGTCTAAGTTTGTTGTCGCTCACAGTTGCCACAACAAAATGGATAACAAAAGATTCAGAAGGGTCGTTATTAAGCGTAATTTCTTCCAGTCGGTGATATATATATAATGTAAATTTTACGTCAGTGAATAATTTAATTTTATATTAATTTATTATAATGAATCTACCGACTGAGTTAGTGGCGTAAAATCTTACAGTACATGGACTGTGTTTAAAGTCACATATTACGCCGTTGTATATATTTCCGCTGTTAAGTTTAGCAATGAATTGCTTTCTGAATTTACACTTGATCTGAATTATTTTAGTGTCTTTGGGCCCTTGTAATTTAGTGTATTTGCAAGCTTGTAATTGTCGTAACTGCGATAGCCTCGAGTGGTAATGCTTACATTCTCTTGCGCTTGTCGCCATGCAGTTTCATAATAGAACTGCATGCCGAGTTGAAATTTGATCGTCATGTGTAACTAACAATCTTTACCATGTCAGTCTAAGAGAGTGACTGCCATATGACAAAATGCCCAGATAAGTCAGGTCGGACCGGATGGGAAAATATTTCGCTCTCTGCCATGACAAATATATTCCCTTGCGACCTTCTTGATCCAGTCAACAAATACCATTACCTGTTTTCCAATCTGCAGCAAAGATCAGTCGTTTGGGGTAGATTACCTTCGCTAAATCTGAGAATCTTCGGCAGACTGGGATTATGATAACGCACTAAGCAATCATAGGCTTCCCACCTCCTGCTTCCTACGTAGGGAAGCATAATAGAGCCGTAATTGTTCATTGAAATTTCCTTGGAAACCCCAATCCAAACAAAACTCTCCTTTGTCAAGATACATAAACAAGTCGGCAATTTGAATATTGTGAGCTTGAAGTAATAGGGGCAGACTGGGAACTAACACTTGCACTTTTCAATATGGCGGACAGCTGTGGATGAAATCCTGTTGTAAACATTTGATTTAATTCTTTGTAAAACGAAATTTAGAATAACACTGAGATGGATGAACTGGTAACAGATCTTAGCAGTGCACTGGACAGAACGAATGATCCACCCTCTGCGCATTCTGATACAACGATCGGAACGAGAGAGTCGCCATCAGCGACTCCCGTTCGGAAAGCACCACGGAAAAGGCGAGGAAGAAAACGTCGATCGGATTATCCGCCGTTCCGTGATCGTCCAAAAGTAAGTGCTGAAAGCAATGATTCTGTAGAGGAAGCATTGATGGATTATATTGAAAACATATCCATGTGCCAAAGCGATTCTGAGGAAGAAACATCGTTTACGAAACGTCTGTTGAAAGTACAACTTCATGGTCGCGAAAATCCAGATCCTTATCCTGTGCAGGAAAAGGAGAAAGGAGAGAGTGACTCTGTGAGCGATCCTCTAGTAGGGTTTACGAAACGTAGAAAGAAAAGAAAGAGGAAACTGAAAAGGGTTTCGGCTGCTCAATCGTTGAACGATCGGGATTCTCCGTTAGGTTTACTCGGAAATAATTTGAAATCTCTCAGTAGGACAAGGAAACGCAAAGTGTGCGGAAAATCTGCCATGGGAAGCGAAATACATAACAGTCTCAAAAGACGCGACGAAGAAGGTAGCTTAGCTGATATTGAAAATGGTTTGAGTAGTGGATGTGGGGAACCCATGGAGACCAATATTTCCTCTAATCATTTCTACAAGCTACCTTCCAAATTGCACGCTAACGCTCAGTTTGCCAAACCTAAAGACCAATCTTTGCCACATGCATCGTCGTGGGTAGACCTTCAAGATGGCGAAGAAAGAATGATGATAATAGCGCCGGATCGGCGTAAAACTGAATCATATGAATCCTCTGGAGAGAGTGATCTTGAGGGGTTTTTCACAAACGATGAAGGTCGACTTGGAGACGATGAAAAAGAGGAAAGCTCGTTTGAATGTGACGTAAGGATTAATCCGTGGTGGGACGAGAAAGGTGCTAGTGACATGGAAGAAGAAAAGTTCCAGAACATTGTAAATGGAGTCATGGCTGAATACAGAAGGCCCTATTTGGCTGGTGCCGAAGGAAAGTTTGGCTTGGGTATGTTAAGAATCAGCTCAATACTTATATGGGCATACATGTACCACTTGTAAACAAAGGTATCTCCTTTGCATATAAAGACTCTTTTTAATTTTGTGGAGAACTCGGGAAAAAAAAAAAAAACCTTCTGACTAATAAGGAGAACCAACAACAAATGCAGCTAGCATGTGATGACAAGTCGTAGAATCAAACCTGAACTTCTCCCTTCTCAGCACTTCTCCCTTCCCGTTTTAACTTTTAACTCCTGTAAGTGGTTACTGTGTAACTTCTCCCAATAACAAGTGAAAAATTTTGTTGCATTGGCACCTGTATTAGGCACAATTTCACGCCCTAAATATCCATATACTTTACAGCTAACAGGTAGTGAAAATACTCAAACTCATCAGGTACAATTTATTACTTTGATTGAACACCTAATTCTCATTATCAATTAACAAGGAAATGTGTTGTAGCTAGAGGGGAGAATTGAAAATTGAATCTTGGGAGTTAAAGGGTTAACAATGTTCTCTGGAGATTTTTTAGTTGCTAGCTACAAAAAACATTGGTCAGCAAAGGTAACATGTACTGGTAAATTCATTTCAGATTAGGACATGTATTTTACTACTTATCTAGTTTACAAAGCTAATTTTAGTAAATGAGGGGCTGTCTGGAGGAGACTGGTTTAGGTATCAAAATGTGGCTAACACTTACAGACTCTGATAACGTACAATTTGCTTTTTGGATCAACAGGTCTTCAAGGGAGATTAAAGAAAAATTCTAAGGCACCTGGACAGGTATTGAGTCTTGTTCTTGTTTCTTATAAAAGTGCTCTTAACTCCTTAAACTCCCAAGATCTCATTAGTAATTCTTATTACTGTCTGCTATGTAGTTCTTGTGATGTTAGTTTGGAGAATTTGTTATTGGATCAACTTATAATCCCTTAATTAAGATTCTTCTTTATTCTCATCACTTGTCTGCTTGATACTGTATTGATATTGTAAGGAGAAGTTTGGTCTTGGTCACTCATGGGAGTTAAGGGGTTACGTGGAATGATACAAAACTAAAATGTGTATAATTTATATTTCCATTCTTATGTTACATATATGCTACTGCAGAATAGAGCTTATTCATAAATGATGTGAATTTTATGATTCTTTTATAATTATTGTGGCAATTTTCCCTCTTTGCCCCAAATGGATCTTCATAATTCAAATGAATCTCTAGTTTTAAACAAGACAACAAGAGCCAAAAAAACATGAAGACAGAGAAATAAAAAGGAAACCTCCATTTCGGAATACAGTTGAACCTGTATTAAGCAGTCATCCATACGCAATGGTGTACTGCTTAATAAAGGCTCTACAGAATTGGGGTTCTATGAAAAAAAACAACACAAAAGGCCATTTTATGCTTTAATTGACCAGAGCTTGCACATCATATTAGGCAGGTGATAAACAATCACTTCCTGGGACTTTGTTATGGTTTTTGATCGATATATCAATGAGTGAATTTGAAATTCCTGTCATCTATCATTAGGAAACTTCTCTGGGGGAGCTGAACAGGAATATTGCAGTCTTCATGCGGAATGAGAAATGGATGGAGTGAGTTTTTTAACATGTCCAGTATGTAATGCAATTACTTACATGTAATGAGTTATAATTATAAAGATGTGCACACAGTGATGTTCAAGGCTTCTACAATATCATTTTACGAGCACCCCACATATTCAAGTGTGATATACTGATAGATGTAAAGGAAATATAATTATTGGTAAAATTTTTTTAACACTGTTTTCTCATTCTTTTGGAAATATAGATTGTCTGTTTTTCCTTCAAACAAGATGGAAAGAGCACAGGTATGTTTATAAATTGAATGTAAGTATTAAAATATTCAATGAACTAATGCTGTGATGTGAAATTACATTTATTTATTATTTTGTCAGTTCATACAATCCGTGTATTTTTCGAATATCGAAAAATATTTTATTTTGTCCTTCTTGAGTCACATAATTCGAAACTCTTTCAGCAGTTTGGAAAACGTCTGCATACTTGTTTGAATTTATCACTATTTTTTAGATATAGGTGACTTAGACAACTGTGCCTGGTGTTTTTGACAGTATTCTACATATTGATATGTTTTAGTTATTGCTAAAAAGCATGACCCTTTGACTTGTAAGAGTGACTAGCATCTAATTTTTCCTTACAACGAGAGTGACTAGCACCTAATTTTTCCTTACAATGAGAGTGACTAGCATATAATTTTTCCTTACGATGAGAGTGACTAGCATCTAATTTTTCCTTACAACGAGAGTGACTAGCATCTAATTTTTCCTGACAATATCACCCCCAAATGTAACACTACCTTAAAGGTCACTGGAAGCTCTTGCTTGTTAAACAAATGCAGTTTTTAAGGAAATGTATAGAGAACAGTATGGAGACTATTCCTACTGATGTAGGGCTGTAAAGGGTTAAATTTCAAAAGAGTGCAATATGGAAATTTGTACTGCACCTGATAACCTATTTATGCATTCACAATACACCATTTTACAGCTGTGTACTTAGTTGCTAAGCCTTTCATTGGGAGTGTGGCTGAAGGTGACCTTGTTATGATAGAGACAAGTATCTAGTTAGCATGATAACAAAGGAATTAACATTTGAAAAGCGGCAATGTTTGTATCATAACAAGGTCACTCTTTAGCCTCACTCCCATTCAAAGGCTTGGCAACCGAGAATGCAAATGTAAAATGGATTATTGACCAGTTGGAAACAAGACATTTTGTCAAGTATATTAATAACAGTTTATTTCACAATTTATTTTCTTTTTCTGCTAGGTATACCAGTGGGCTTCTTTATATTCTCTTCAGTGTCGATCAGATCCTGCTCATAAAGGGAGAGTATTACTTTGCAAAACAAGGTAGGTTTTTTTTTTCCTCAAATATGTTTTAGCCATGTTACTTGGTACTTGTAGGGCCCTCAAGTTTTAGGAATTGAGCATGAAACTCACACAAAGGAATTCAATCCCACCCTCTTTCGCTGCAACTGTTGTTTCTCATGCATTTAAGGCTTCTGGTTTGAACTATTGTTTTTGAATAGCAAACTGCTGCTTTAGTGAAGTACCTATGAAATAGACTATCCTTTTCAAAAATAATTTACTCCTCATTCCCTTTTTGCTTGCTTCAAGCACTTTCCAGAAGTGTAAATTATCCTTTGGAATAAAGGAATTCAAATCTTAGCTACATAATTTTTTCACAATTTTTTTCTAAGGCAGGAGGCCAACATTCACCCCTCAGGAGTGTGATGCCTGCAGCATTACAATTCAAGGCTGAGTGTTTGTCTCCACTAAAGATCTTTATGATAGATGAGAAGTTTTTGATCCTGTTTGTGTAGGGAATGTTATTTGAGTTGAAAATAGAAGGAAACTATAAGGCTGATTTGACAGAGAAAGAATTACTTTTCTTTTGATTTCTGCATTGTTGAATCAGCTTAATGTTGGTATCTATGTGCACTGAGTTGTTTTTGTTCTGAAGTTTTTACTGTGTCCTATCTTTACTTTCTAATCAACCCTCCCCCCAAGACATCCCAACAGACCTGGTGCAGAATCCAAAAGGCGAAGAAAAATGCCTCCCCCAGTTGACGCCCTGCATTCCACATGTAAGTGCTACTTTGTCACTTGGGCTCATTCAGGTTTTTGCTTTTTTAACCCTTTAACTTCCATGAGTGACCAAGACAGAATTTCTCCTTACAATATGTGACCCTCCACGGGAAAACGGACACAAACGCTTTTCCGTTTAAGCTGCAAAACCGTTTACTATCCGTTTATATCCGTTTAAACGGTTCATGAAAGCGTTTAAGAGGTTTGCTCATCCGTTTAAAAAAAATTGCATCCGTTTAACGCTTTTGCCAAAACGTTTAAGCAGTTTGTTCATCCGTTTAAAAAAATTTGCATCCGTTCAACGCTCTAGCAAAAACATTTAAACGGTTTGCTTACCCGTTTAAAAAAAAAAAGCTATCCGTTTAAAGTTCCACGGAAAGCTTTGGACTGTTTGCCTATCATTCTGTTATGAGCAGTTCAACGTATCAACAAGATATGTGATAAGAATAGAGAAAAATATCAATTTGGAGATAATAGGTTGATCCAATACTAAATTCTCTGAACTAACATTATAAGAATTGTATGGTTGACAGTAAGGAGAATTACAAATTTGATATGAGAGTTAAAGGGTTAAACTTTGTTATTTTGATATCTTTTGCATAAATTTGTATTAGCAATAGCCAATACTACAGTGCACCTATGCAAATGATCTCAGTGAACTGTTTTAGTGGTGAGCATCTGTCGCCATTCACTCTTGCAAAAGATTGTTTCTTTTGATGGTATCTAAGAAGTTTCATCACAATTTAGTATAATTATACTTTCCCACATAATTTATTTGAACTCAAACTAAACAAATGGTTACATTGTCAACTTTGAGGCCCTTTGCCTCTGCATGTACTCTATTCTTTGGGGACTTTGTAAGTTACACTGTACCAAGGGAACAATATAACACTTAAATAGTAGCTGAACCAGGCTAATGCATTAGTGTCAACCATAAAAATTTAATCACATTTGTGAGTTAAGCAGAGAATCAATGTTGTTCCATAAAGAAATGATGGGATGTAATGCAGTTGTCCTAAGGACAACATGACTCGCCAGTCATCCTGAAAGCCAGAAAGTCAATTTGTTATAGAAAGAGTGTTACAAAATTTGAACTTTTTTGTATATCTGAAGTCATTATGGAGGGTTTCTGACTTCTGTTTCCACAGCGACAGTGGGAGTGGAAGCTGATCCAATACCTTCATCAAATATTGGGAACCAGATGTTGCGCGTTATGGGTTGGACGCCAGGGACTGGACTTGGAGCTGACAGAAGTGGAATCCAGGACCCTGTGAAGGCATATTTGAGACCAAAAGGACTGGGACTAGGCCATCCATGGCCTCCGTAAAGTGAACAAGATCTAATTTTATATGGAGGACAAATTCAATTGTTTTTTAATAACGTTTTCCCGAAGCCCAGTATGATTTGAGGGGAACCTTGAATTTGAGTTTTGGATGCGTTTTATGGAAAGAAGTGCAGAAATTTGACAATGTAAATATGATTTTATGGTTAACATTTAATAATTTACGCGTTGTGTTAATAAAGGTATCTCGATTGGCGTCTACATGTAATGTCATCTTCGAGTAAAAAGATGTTCTTCAACTCACAAGTTTTCTTCCCTTGAATTTTTTTCATGGCTGTTCTCTGCCATCAGAGTGAGCTAATCAAATGGGAACATTCCGTGTTAAGTATACCAACAGGTTAGCGAATTTCTTCTTAGGAGGTAAGACTGGTTCTGTGTGGCTCTTCTTTGACGTTCACTCCAAACACGTTTCTTAAGCTCCATCCACACAAATACGTTTTCTTCCGAAATATAAATACTTCAGGGTGTGTATTTGTCTATCATCCACATTTAAACGCTGATAACAACGGGTACTTTTGTAAATTGATCGAAAAGAAGAGTGTTATGGAAACGTATCGTTTTTGTAATGCTCCATTTATTGTGGGGACAAGAGAGGCTTTTGGAAACGTCGACTTAAAATGCGTCACGTACTGTCGCTTTCAACTTGGGTTTCGAATGTTTGGGCGTGAGATGTGTCCTTTTCAAATAAAAACGAGAATAAAATGAATGATCACCAGCTTAAGAAACTCTTGCTTGGTAAATAAATTCGCTCCCAAAGACAATTGAAGGCACAACTAGATATTTGATGCAACATCAGTACAGAGAAAAGTATATTTTAACTCGAACACACGGTTTTCTCTTATTATCAAGTAGAGAAGTTTCTATGTTAAAATTTTACAATTACAACCTTGTTCAAGCAAGGATGTGCACGCAAGGATTAAATAAACTAAGAAAAATTATATCGTACATGCCATAAGGAAATTTTTCGTTCAAAGTCACTTTATCAACATCTCAGAAAGAGAACGTGGTTCTTAATCTAAGATTGTAATAAGATTTTAAACTAACGCGTTGGTATTGTAATAACCAACAATACATAAATAAAGTAAATTAAATAACAAAAATGGTGCAATAACAAAAAAAAGTGCAATCTAAAAAACACTTTGCCCAGCAAAGAGATTCGAGCAGATATCATTCCAAAATCGATCCTTAAAATTCCAAAGTGATAAACATGCATATTCCACTTTCGAACAACTCTACATTACTCAGCAAAATGGTGATAAGAAGAAACAAATTTATCGACAAGAGTGTGTTATCTTCTTAAAACACTAAATTCTCTTATTAATTTACAATTAGATGTATTGGGGCTAGAAGAGACAGTTACAAAAAAGATCTGGAGAGCTTAAAGACAGATGAAGCTATCTCATCTTTCTTTTCTAAGCTTTAGTGATATACCGGTGAGATGAGAGTTGTTTTGGTAGGACTGAAGTTTTTCAGCGAAGGTTGTGTCTTCGATTTCTATACTTTAGATTCCAAGACATCAAACCCACAAAGAAAAAAATTCACAGCGGAATCGAAAATTCGATTAACTACTAATCCTGTAATAGCGTCAGAACCTAAACCAAAAAAATCCAGGACTAATTTTAAGTCTTGTCAATGTCCTCCTGAAAAACTAAAAGCATCCGCACATCTTCTTCACCGTTGTTCTTTCTTCGGAGTGTTGCTCTTTGGCGAAGTTGATAAAAACCTACGGGATGAGCAATAGTAGAAAGGCATTATCAACTAGCACAGGCAAAATTACACAGGCTTATGTGCAACAAGCTCATAGACTTGTAAGTACTAAGCGCGCTTTTCGATTGAGTGACGTAAAACCAAAATGATTACAACGGTCAATCAGAAGAAAGGCAAACACCTTTAAGAGCCAATAAGAACTCAGAGTGCAACCGACCAAACTGCCTAAAACGCGGGAAAACGCAGGCGACCAAGTCTCAAGTCGTGATTGGCGTTAGTTTTGCATCTGATTGTTTGAAATGATTACAAGACGATCGATGTGCCCTTCAAGCGATAGAAAGTTTGAGAGCGTTTACCTGTTCTAGTGTGGTCTGACTGACGCTGTAGTCCACAATATTCAGAGCAGCTCTATTTCTTTCCAGCTGGCCAAAGATATACGACCAACTCAATCCTTCAGTTTCCAACTGGAAGTGCAGTACTCCCTTTAAAAAAACACAAAACAAGAAGTGTAAACAAAGAATGACGTGCGGTTGTTACCATTTCCACTCGAATCACTCTTCTCTTGTGGCTCGGCCAGTCTAATACGTATGAAACGAGTTTATCCAACTAAGACACAAGTAAAGCCACAATAAAGGACATTTATTGAAACTCCAGCTGCACGCGTTTGCATGAACGATTCAGTTAGACTAAGTAAGCCGTTGTTTCGTGTTTTCCAATGAAATTATGGGCGGGAAAGTGGTGCGCGCGGCCGGCCAGAATTGATCCCCACGCTAAGGCTCGATGTTTAACCGCTGTGCTACTTACGTTATGGCTCTCTAGAAGCCTTGCTCCAGAGAAAGTTTGGTTCACAAAGTTTTGAGCATTTGTCACAGCGTTTATCAATCCCGGATCGTACACCAACGGCATGGACTGGCCGGGAGGGAGCTGCATTTGAACAGGATTGGCAGGATAGGGAGGAGGAACGGGGACCGTAGGTTGTATATCTTTGCTGCTGATGACCGCTTGGGTACCATTAGCATAACCTGCAAGAGAGTTAAAAGTTGAGTTTGGTATTTTTGGTATTCTCTCTCACAAATGTTTCCCCAGCCTCTTTGAGAGTAAAGAAATCTCTCCAACTAGACACGCAACAGCAAGGCTGACTCGTTGTCCTTAGTGTTGCAGTTAGTTCTTGCAACACATTCCAGTAATTCTGTTATGTTTCTGAGCGAAATAATCAGCTGTTGGGGCGGTTGTCTCCGGTGGTCTTAAGCCGCTACGTTTGTGACACCCAACAGACATTAAAGTCATGAGAATAAAGGAAGTGATTGAAACTCTTGATCATTGAGCAAATTCTCCTTATAAGCACCATAAGAGACCTATAGAGAACAGTACGGAGAACTTGCAAACTGATATTGGGGTATAAAGGGTTAACACGTCACGCCTCATACCACTTTTCAATAATCATAGACACAAGCTTTGCCTCACCTTCCGGGATGGGCTTCTCCGGTTCATTAACTTCCGGCAATTCCCCGGTAGCCGCAGGATTGCTAAAAACCATTGGAGGTGGTACGGACGTAGCGGTCGGTGGAGGTTGTTGGAAGCCGTTTGCTGTTTGCTGAGGAATGGGTGCAGCGCTGCCTGCAACTTTGATCATAAGGGTGTAACCAGTGCCAAACCTGCGGTATAACGGTCACGAAGTGTAAATAACGACTTGGAATCGTAAACAATAGTGTACTACTTTTAGGGGTTTCAGAACATATTCCATATGCGGCTGCCGATGATGTTAAAGGCGACTGTGCCCGGAAGGGGCGGTAAGGCGAAACCCAAACACGAGATCCTGCTGAACAGACGGCGGTAAGAGGTCTTAAAAGCAGCGACAGACCGCCAGCAACCGGCTTTTACCGAAACCCCCTGCTACTCTGTGACTGGAGAGGCTTTTATAATCCACTCATTGAGAGTAATACTAGTTTTTATTGTGTCAGAGTTGTATGGGCTTTTTATGATAGGAAAAACTATGGGTCTCATGTTGCTTGCGGTCATGGGTCCGATATCTCAATAGGGAATTAAGCCCGGTATGATTTGAGATACAAGTGGCTACCGGAAGAAAATTACTCTTAGTTCAAGCCTTCTTTGACCCCAATTAATTTAGTGCAAAGTCTTTTATTAACCATGCGCTACAGACCGTGGATCCGTAGCAAGCTCTAGGGGGAAAGATCTTTCGGTCACCACCCACGTCTCAAATACGCCTGGGCTTAGGCAAGCAATGGATTTCTCAATAAAAGGGACAAACCTGCTCTTCAGATGTTGAATCGATCCCAAACACTTAAACTGTCCGTTCACCATGATGGCAAGCCTTGTGCACAGGGCCTCGCATTCTTCCATGCTAGAAAAGAAGACCAAAGAAAAATTCTCATCACCAGTTCTCTACTCGTGTACGTTTGTCATTCAGTAAAGAAGCTTCAGAATATGATCTTATCCTCGTCGTATTAAAAAAAGCAATTTTAAGTTATCGCTATTCTCCTTGAATGGAAAATAATTCACCCAAATCTCCTCCGAGCCACATATTTGTCAGGCTCCGATTCAGCAAAGCTCGACAGCGTTGTTATTTCCTCCAAGTCAATGTATATTGAGTTGTAGTAGTCTAGTATGTAATGAGTTGTATTACGAAATAAAGCTGTAATTATAAAAAATAAATAAATAAAAAAGAATAATATTTTATTTACCTGTGAGAAGTGAGTACAATTGATCGGCCTCCTTTCATCACCTGCATCAATGAATCCCACAGAAAACGGCGAGCAACAGGGTCCATACCTGTGGTGGGCTCGTCCTAGGATGATAAACAACACAGACTTAAAAATCTCAGTTCTCTATTTTATGTTTATAAAGCTGTAGCCTTTGACTCGCCCCAATTCTCTTCTATTCAATGAACCCATAGAAAAAGGCGAGAAACAGGATCCATACCCGTAATGAATCTAAGTTCTCTATTCTTTAAGCACAAGGCTATAGCCTCTGACTCATCTCTATTCCTTTCCAAAACTTGTGCAACCACTGTGGGCAAAACAGGAGCTAGAGGTATCATGAATAGGGAGAGCGCGCTACCCCCATTCCCAATCCCCTTTCCTCGCCCTCGAGACAAGTTAATAGAGAAATTAACATGTCGGTTCTTGTCCTTTGAGGAGTCATAACTTTATGGAATTAGTATGCAAGGGTTGGAGTCTGAATTTCAAACGCTGCATAGAATCCGAATCAACTGGCTGGAAAAAAGTAAACTCACCAAAAATACAATGGGAGGATTTCCAACCAACGCGATAGCAGTACTGAGTTTTCGTTTGTTCCCGCCACTATCAGTGCAAAAGAAAATATAAAAATAAAAATAGATGATAAAACCAGGGAAGTAGAAGTCCACTAGCACCATTTAGAGTAAGTTAGCATGTACATCTGTCATCCCTTTGACCCCTACGAGTGACCAGCATCTAATTTCTCCATACAATATCACCCCTAAATCACTCATCAGGGTCACGAGATTAAAGGAAATGATCACCAACTAAAGAAACTCTTGATTAGTAACCAAATTCTCCTTGTCAGCACCAAAGGAAATGTAAAGAGAACAGTGAGGAGAAAATGAACACTTAATAAGTGTGAGGATGTGAAGGGTGAAGTATCTGGAAACAAAACTGACCTGTAGTCTCCACACAGTTTATCTGCCCAATTGGTGAGATTCAGGTGTTTGATTGTGGACGACACCAAGTCCTTTACTTTATTTGATGGAACGCCTCGGAGATGAGCGTACATCGTCAGCATTTCGCGACCGGTTAGACGTTCAATAAGGGCGTCAAACTAAAGGTTAAAAAAACGATTCGGATAATTTGATTTCACGAAATTGTTTCAGCTTTTTTTAAGACAAGTAAAGCGGATAAATGAGCTTGAGAGCGAGAATATCTTAGACTTTTAGATAAACATACCTGAGGACAATAGCCAATCCTTTGCTGAACCTAAAATTTTAAAATAGAATGTCTTAGTCTTTATCTCACTGCACTGCACCGATGAAACACAACACCACGCATAGACCAGTTTTCACTTGAGTGTTGAAAACAAAAATCAAAGTTATTACAGCGACCAATCAAAACAAAGATTAACATCATCGTTAGCCAAGGAGGACTCAAAGTGAAACAAGCATAATGCTTGAAGCGCGGGAAAACGCGAATGACAACGTCGCCACTGTTTTTAGTTTTGCATCTAATTGGTTGGGAGGATGGCACGAGTTTTCTGGACCAATCACAAAGCAAAGTAAAGTAGAGCCAAAGCAATCCCAGATTACTATTGACACTCAATTGAAAATTGCTCTCGCTGCCAGTTCCGATCTTCTTACAAACCTGTCGTAAATTCGTCAAAATGTTATATCCATCCATGTAAGCCGTGCCTTGTGAAATGCTTAAATCTCCAGTTAGCATGCTAAATGTGGTGGTCTTTCCAGCACCTAATGGGAGAGGAACGAAAGGCTTGAGTGATAATCATCGTAGTAAACGCAAGAGTAGTGAAGTATGATCGTTAGTCCCACAATGAAATCCCTTGCCAAGTGGATACCGAAGTTTCCTCTGAATACAGGAGGCTTCTTTAAGCGATTAGGTTGAACGGTTACGCATCACTTTACAAAGCTTCATGATCTGATGTGATTGGCTGGTATTCTGTTGTATAGTCGCTCGCAAGCGGAGCGCACTACTTTCGCCCGTGGCGCGCATGTTAATCGCGTGTGTAACTAGCAGAGTTTTATTGTTTAGTCAGCTAGTCGAATTTTGAGGAGTCTTGTGCTCGAGTTAGTTTTGTTTTAGCGATGTTTTCTACCCGGTAACGATAAATACTTATTTCAGTTAATGCAAGAAATAGATAACAAAACATACACACACAAAAAAAAAAGAAACACAAAATACAATAAAAAACAACAAAAAGGTACAAAACTTCAGTTCAAAAAAAACATTTCTTTACCATTTATTCCAAGCAAACCAAAACATTCGCCTTTAGGAATTCCCAGGCACAGATGATCCACAGCAGTAACGTTTGTGCCACCATACACCTGAAGGTAAATGAGAGTTAGGGTCTCTACATAGTGACGAGTGACCAACATGGAATTTCTCCTTACTAATCGATACATTTTCAAGCAGAGAGGTAACGAGAAGAACGTTAAGCATCAACGAAATGACGTTGTTCGATTTAACGCCCAATTCTCAGAGCTAAAAGCATAAGAAATATATAATAGAGAATTCTTATTTGGATCCTTAAAGTGCTAGAACTGAAACCATTGAAGAAGGTTGGGTTGGGTTAAGTATTCGGGCCCAGATGTTCCACAGTACAGGATCTTAGGTTAATCCTCCTGGATGGGGACATGGGTGACCCGTGGAATTCGTCACGTGGCCTTAACAGTTCAGCGATACCAGTGTTTACCCCAAGGTGAAGAGAGGTACCATGAGGGAAAAGTGTCTTGCCGTAGAAACACAGCACAATCACTCTGTTAGGACTCGCACCCGAGTCTTTTGTTCCCGTGTTCAGCGCACTGGCGACTTCCTCACGGCACATCCCAAGATTATTTACTAAGAAACTTATGACTCAACCTTTTACCTTGGTAAGGTCTTTCAACACAACAGCCTCTCCGTCGATTTCTTCAGGTTTCAGCATGGAAACACGGTTACGCTCGTTGAAAACATCCTCGTCCTAGTACACACACAGAAAAAAGGCCATGCCTCTTTTCAGTACCTTTCATATTTGTTTGTACAAAAATCTCAACACGACCTCAATCTATCCATGCGGTTGGGTGACGTCTAACAAGTCAAATGACTAGACGTCTAAGAACTCGAACAAAGCTGTCGATTTTAAAGTATATTTGGCGAGCAAGAAATTTGTAATCGAGATGAAAACCCACCTCATTGCTTCGGCGTTCTGTTCCATCAGCTCCACCAGAATTTCTGCTGAAACCACCAAGGAAGAACTTCACCTGTAGACGGGTCACCAAACAAAACATAGAGTCGACGTGTTAACATCACCTTCCCAAGAAAAGACTACCTTAACAATATCGTAAAACGAAACCTACTTGCTTAAGTTAACCCAATTATTATCGTTTCTGCGACATGCAACTCTAACAACGGCTACGCTACATTCATCCGCGAGTTTTTGGTTTTGCTCTATTTTGCTTTGTTATTGTTTTTATTAGAAAATTCCCGCCAGCTTTCTCTTGACCAATGAGAATAAGGTGTAAATCACAAAAACCAATCGCGATTTGTTCACTCGCGTTTTCCCGCCGCGCTTCAAGCAGTTTTCACACATTTCCTTTAAGTATACGTTAACTGCTTGTGATATTTCATTTGCAATGACTATAGTTATGGGTTTTATAACAGTCGTCTCGTCTACTGCAAAGTTCAAATGTGCCCTTTTTTTGAACGAGGCCAACACCGTAACACTAACCGTCTTGGAGTGTTTAGCCTTACCTCGATCAGCAGAACCAAAATGAACAAAACAACGGCTTCCACAAACATGTACAGAACCATCTGTCCGATGCCCGGGCGTTCCAAAGTGAGACCATGGTCTGTGTACTTAATCCCTACCAAGTCACACCTCAGTTTCGCCCTAAGAAAACAACCACAACACCAGATTACAAAAACAGTGCCGTGTCCTCATCACTAAATAACGACTAATTCTGTCTTTGAGTGGCTTACGTAACTCTTAAGGAAGTTTTGAAAAGCTGAGTACCCCAGAATTCTAAGTCCGGGGCGTTCGGCACCAAATCTTCAAACATCACTGCTTAGGAGTTGATTAGGTAAAGATGTAAATTGCGGAATTAAACCAAGAAGCCCATCCAGTCAGACATTATTCAGACTTTTGTAACGTAAAGCGACTGAGAGTACTTCTATTTTCGTCGAAGTTACATCATTTGTGTCCGCAGAGAATAGTTACCTCTGGGAACAGAAAATAAAGTGTTTAACTGACGACGAATAATCGCCTTGGTATACATGGCATTGATCCTTGTAGTGTACTTACTCAGGCGATTCGTTGCAGACTTTTCTGTACCCGTAATTCTTGTTGAGATCCACAAAGCCGTAAGCAAGCCTGTGACAGAATTGTTTAAATGTTAATGAAGAGGCGAGAATGCTATCAATATTTCAATCATGTTTACACTGTATTGCGCAACTCGAACTAAACAGAACACGATGGATCAAGAGACTTGTAGGAGAAAACGTCGATTTAAAATAATTCATAAGATAAGATGAACGCTAGTGGCGTTTTGATGAGTGCTTACTGATAGTCTATAGGAAGACAGACGTATTGATAACCTCACCATTAACAACATTTTGCTTTTTTATCATATAAAACAATTAGAATCCATGTCTCCGTGGGTCTGTGTAGTAAAAGATCATCGGAGACGTAAAAATGAGAGAAGAACATCAGTGTACCACTTTTTTGTGACGTCATCTTTGATCCATTATTGAATTAACACACAGCAACATCGAATGCATTTGTTAATCTGGAACTATTTTTAAAATGGGAGCTGTAATTCTGCTCAAGATTACATCCAGTAAGAAAGTGTAATTTAGTGAAAGTTAACGACAAAATCACTTACGTGTAGGTGGGAACCAACATAAAGATGTAGTGACAAATCTCGGCTTCATCTTCATACCCAACACTCGGTATTTGTAGGACAAACACTGTGATCAACATTGCCTGAAATGTTTCAAAGTTATAGAAATAAATCACAACTTCACTGTTTTAGTCTAATGGGCACTGTTAGTAAGAAATCAAATTCAAATTCGACGAGCAGCTGCTAAACTTACCAGACTGAGAATGGAGAGCAAGAAGACTGTGAGTGCGTAACCCACAACTGGAGAAGTGAAAATGAACGAAAGGCAGTAGACGAAGGGCAGAACACACAAACCAAACAGCAGCTGTGAAGAGAACGACAACCTTAAGATGACAATTGTCGTTCAGTACCGCCCAGCACAAAACTAAGGCACGTACCGCGGGAAATACACTTTTCTCTGCGAACTTCCACAATTTGTGGCAGTTAAGGGAATAGGTTTTAGCCAAACATTTCTGCTTACACCTTAACCTAAGAACCATGTCGCCAAAATTTCGCCCTTTTGTTCGTAATTGTGTTGAGGTTGCACGCGTGAGCCCGCGAAAATTCGTGACATGCGGAGATGTTAACAGAGCAATCAAACGCAAGGCATGTGCAAGGGGATCGCATTTCCAGCACAAAGGTTATTTTATCAGGGGTTTCCATCTCATTTACCATTCTAATTTGAGCTTCACCAAAAACGTCATACGGTTTTTAAACGCCGCATATTACTTGCTTGTGTGCTTGTCTATAAGCCAACTTAGTTTTGACAGCCTGAAAGCAAACCCTCTAGCTCTAAAACGCGGGCATGTGCACAAACGTGTGACGGCAATGTTGCACACGTTTTGCAGCTCTGTCCCTTAGCTTCTTAGTATTTTCTTACCAGCAACAAGAAGACGATTCCCATCTCATCCTTGTAAGAATCCACTTGGAATGCAGCGAATAAAATGAGAATCACAATAGCGGGGACTAGATAATTGATGAAGTCCCAGGTGTATGTAGCAAGCCAATAGCTGAGTGTATCAACTCCACTGACAAACTGGAGGTGTTTTGCCTGAAAGAGAAGGAACAAATTAGTACAAGCTTCTTGATTTGAGTACAAGAGCAAAAAGTTTTAAGTTTTAACAGAAACTGTTTTGCTACGTCGGCGGGAAAGTGAAAAAACATTTGGAGAGAGTAATTTTTAATTGTGTGTCGAAAGCAAGCCGGCATTGTATTGATTTTGTTTTACTTCACTCTGTGATTGGTCCAGAAAACTCGCGCCACTCTCTAAACCAATCAAATGCAAAGCTTAAACCAATCGCGGCTTGGTCGCCCGCGTTTTCCCGCGCTTTGGGCAGTTTGGTTGATTTTACCTTGAGTTCTCGATGGCTCTTCAAGGTTTTTTCTTCGTTCTGATTCACCTTTGTGATTTCTTTGGTTTTGACTTCAGAAAACTCTATCGAAAAGCGCTCCAATGGCAAGAAAACCGTTGCAGTGAATTCTGATAAGCTAAGTTTCCTTTTTCGGGGCAAATTGATATCTAATTATTTTTTAGAAACCTTTCCAATCCCGGGTACTCAATACTTTATCAAGGAAAAAGATAATCAGAAAAAAAATAGCAACAGCAACCAAAGGATACTGCTTAACTTAGAACCAAATTCTCAAAACTAAATTTATAAGAAATGCATGGCCAACAATTAACCCGTTAACTCCCAAGATCTGATCGCTAATTCTCCCTGTAACCGCTACACATTTCCTTGTAAATTAGCTATGAGAACTTGGTGCTAGATAACGATAGCAGCTTCTACCTGATAAGTTTGAATATTCTCATTACCTGTTTGCTGAAGAATGTATAGATATTGTTGGGAGAAGTTTTATGTTCATCACTTCTGGGAGTTAAAGGGTTAAAGAGAATTGCTATTTCATGAAAGTGAACGGGTTAAGTAACCTAAATGATCGTCCTCCAATCTTGAAACTCTAGCATATATTTTAAGGCACGCCATTGGCCAAACGGACCAATGTCAGTATCTAAGCAACTTTTCACCTACCCGTCCCCTAACTCAACATTAACTATAAGATGTTATCAGTTGACTGTTGTTGGGTTAGGGGAGGGGTAGGTAAGCAGTAGCTCAGATATTGATCCGACCTAACTAATGTCTTACCTTTGACACTCTTTCCTGTACAATGAATGTAACAAAGCTTGCAGCCATGTAAGCCATTCCTAGTGCGAGAAATATGGCAAGGAGAAGTGCAGAGAAGTCTGATGTAACGTTGTCAGCCTGAAACAAAACAAAACAACACAAATCTCATCACAGTCGCTTTGACGAGGGGCTAACGCTCGAAACCTCAGCTTTTAAACTCTTTACGGTGGCCAATTTACATTACTACCCCAGTTGATAGTACTTAATTACCCTGTTATACCCTCCCCCCGACGAAGCACCACAGTTTCTTTAGAAACTTACCCCCTCCATTGAAACAAAACAAAGTTATAGAAAAGTCCCTTCACTTCATCTTTGTACGCACACTAAAAAGTATGACCGCAAAAAAGTGCTCCAAGTTGTCAATTCCGATTGAACTTAACATAGTGTATTGTTTTAAAAGCGAGTCCGGTCTCAGAAAGGGCCTTATCTTTAAAAATGATATGTACAATTTCAAAGCTTGGCATGTTTTACTGAGCCAAGCTTGGAACAGATGATATTTCGCGAAGATTACAACATAGTTTATGGCGTAAAAATTAGTACAGTCTGGTTCAAAAACCTAACATAATATCTGTCGCGTTTAAGGAAATATTCTCCAAACGTTTATATTGTACAAAAGACACTCCAAGTAAACACTATCTAAACAGACCTTGTTGTTGACACTGTTTGGTAGAGGGTAGTTTGTAGTCTCAATACTGTACGACGAGTCTCCTGTTTGATCAACCAACAGTATGTTACTCATGGCACTCAGTGCTTCTGCTATGGTGTGGAATCCCTGTAGAGGCAGAAGTAATGAAAATCATCTTACAGTAGATCTGCAGTGTTGACCCAGTGCTACCCACTGGGCTACCGTCATGTTTTGTTTATCTCTCGTGCGATTACAGACTTAGCTACATCCATTTTGAAATCACTGGTGATCCTTGTAATCTGATTGGCTATCGTTGGTGCGATTTATTCAGGAATCGCACCATTTTTTGCTTTAAAATTGTATTTGCTGAAATACAACAACCAATTGCTTGTTTGAAGAAACCAATCAAATTGTTGAAGAATGAAAAACAACTTTCGAAACTTTCTACAAACCAGCTCATTACTGGATCAACAAACATTTGTACAGGCTAAAAAATCCTGTATCTAAGTGACTGAATTTTGCGATTTCAAAATGGATGTACTAAGTGGTAGTTGAACTTCGTGTCGAGCAATTCTAGTCTGAAATCATACTTTTGATTTCATATCACGCAAATGATTTCAGACCAAGTGGTACTCCCCTCAGTTTGTTAACATAATTTTCAAGCGTGAGTAGGGCGCATACACACATTAAAACAAAAAGACGACTTTTACTAATACCCCCAACTGATGAAGAAATACAGTATCATACCTCATTACTGTACCAAACTGTAGTAACAGCCGCTTCCTTGTCCTTATCTGCTCCTCCAAGAGTCTTGTTAGTCATACCGCTGCTATTAGTCATATTGTACGGCAGGCTCATAGCAGGCGGCATTGGGGCTAAGGAAAATCCAGCCACGTAAATATTAAAGTAATCATTGGCATTGCTGTCTTCCAGGACGTACTCAGAGAAGTAGGTGTTGATGTCTGTCAGATCTGTGCCTGGGCAACCCACTGCGGAGCACTCTTTGTCCCCCTTCTCGCCACCAATTCTTTCGCCAGGTCTAAAACAAAAAAGATAACCCAAATTAAGAGCATCATTATGCATATTCTCCATACTGTTCTCTATACATTTCCTAAGTTGCTGACGAGAAGAATTCGTTAAACAATCAAGAACTTATTTTATTAGTTGGTGATCATTTTCTTTATTCTCGTGACCTAAATGTGTGATTCAGGGGTGATATTGTGAGGAGAAATTAGATGCCAGTCACACTTGAGGGTTCAAGAGTTACTAAAGCACGTAGGGTATACATACAATTTAGCTTGGATGCATTTCGGGCAGTCATTGTAGCCAAAGGTGTAATCTGTACAATTGCCTGGGACTAAGTCCTTGCTGATAAACTAAAAGAAAAAGAATTCAAAGTTGATAATGAGTTGAGAATGTTGAAATAACATTTACACAACCAGCTGCTCCGCTATTTTTTTTAAGTGTGAGCTGATTGGTCTATCAACCAAACGATAGAGAGTAGAAAGAAACGAAGGAAAAGAATGAAGAGGCGAAGAGGCGAGGGAGCGAAAAAAAGAAAGAGCAAAGAAACCAAGGAGCAAATAATATGAAAAACGATGGAACAAATAATTTTGTCACTCTCTTTTTTATTGTGAGCTGATTGGTCTATCAACCAAACGATCGAGAGTAGAAAGAAACGAAGGAAAAGAACAAAGAGGCGAAGGGGCGAGAGAGCGAAAAAGTGAAAGAGCAGAAGAGCAAAGAAACCAAGGAGAGAGGGAACAGGAAAAACGATGGAACAAATAATGAAGTCGCAAAAAGGAGGAAAAGGGGTAACAAAGAAACAAAGAAAGGTAGGGTAATTATAATAATAACAATAATCGAAATATTTATCCAGGATAACCCTTCAATACAAAAGTACTGTTATCAACTGGGTCCTACTGATTTTAATCAGTAAGTACCTATAAAACAAAAAACACTAAGTTAAAAGCTGCTGAAACTCCAATAGAAATCACAGGTAGTGATCGTCCAGCGCTTTCCTAAATAAAACTCTACAGTTTATGTTCCACAAAATTAAAGACAATGAACTAAAAATCGAAGCACCCAAAAAATAAAAACTACGGCGTGCAAAATCCAGCTTTGCTGTTTTCCCATTGTTTCCAGTGCTTAACGTGTTATGATGTAATCGTCGGAAGTAGTCTCTAAATGGGAGGCATACGACTCCATTAAGGCAGTCAAATACAAAGTAGCGCGCTCTCTTCTGTAAGGATGAATAGAAGCTCAAATAAAAGAGCGAACAAGAGATCAACACTCACCTTAGCTTTGCACTTGTCATTGAGAACATAATACTCAAAGTTACAGCAGGATTTTGCGTCCTTATCAACTTTGGCGAAGCTCTTATTCCTGACAAATACGCCATAGTCCTTGTTGCCGTCTCGAATGTAATAAACTTTGGACGTGATGTCAGTCGCATCAACTTTAATGTCGTTGAGGTAGGTTTTGGCTTTCTGTGTAGACAAACGTTTAGAGTTCCTCCGTTAGTTTTGATATCCTCCGTAAAGCTATCATAATCTGTTCAACCATGATAGAGAGTAGTCATACTGAACTTGATTCAAACAACTGATCAGAGGTGCTTCTTGAAAGCAGAGGCGTTTATAGTCACAAATTTACACACACCTTACGTAAAGTGCCTTATACCGCTGCTCTACCTTAAGTACCGATGGACTCATTTTTAAACAGCGAGAAGGCGCGGATAATAAGGTATCTAGCACTTGAAAACAAGTACGCTATGAAGATTATTCAGACTCGCGCGTTTTCGCAAACCTAAATTCAAAGATTTGTATGTAATTGACAAACAAAAAAATATCTCATAAAGGAAAGGAGGGTGGCGGACACCCCAGGACCCCGGCCACGCCCTTGGACAGAGTCAAGAGCGTGTCTTTGTCGTGTTACAGTTGTTTCTCATTTCTTTGTTCGTTATAGTGAGAGTACATAGAGCATTAACTGATATCACAATGATTAGTACCGTTTTCTCTAAAGCCCACGTAGTCACAAGTCAGTTCTATTTGCTTTCAAAACAAAAACCACCTAACAAGCTTTTTATCAGTATAAGCTCAAATGCAAGGAGATGAGAACATGTATTTCACGTACCTCAAACGTCGCGGTCTTTTTACTAGAACTCATGTTTCTGTAGTCGGCAAAAAAAGCTTTGGTATGGACACCGTCCACGCTCAAGTTAGACAGCTTAAGAACACGAGGTGGGTCGTTCTCTCTTGTGGGAATCGTAGTGATCAGCAACAAACCAAATACAACCATAATGATGGGAAGAACAAGTTGTGTAATAATTGCTTTCTTGTCGCGTTTGGAGTTCAGAAACCTCTTCATGAACATTGCTCTGTATTGATTCCACTTCAGTCGAAACCCAGTTTCAAGCTCTAGAAGAAAGACTACAATATTTAATGATTGCCTTACGCATCCTCATCTCTATAAGTCTAAAAATCATTTGTTTAACTGTTCCTGCCTCTATTCATCGCTCTTAACCCTTTCACTCCCAAGATCTCATTAGTAATTCTCCTTACTGTCTGCCATACAGTTCTTATGATGTTGGTTTAGAGAATTTGGTATTGAATCAACTTAATTGATATCTTTCTTTATTCACATCACCTGTCTCCTTGATTTTGTACAGATATTGTAAGGAGAATTCTGTCTCGGTCACTCTTGGGAGTTAATGGGTTAAAACTACGAGAGCACAAGTGGTGGAGCAGAATAAGGGGGGGGGGGAAGAGGGGGGAAGAAGGGGAGGTATTGGGGGCTGTGTTGCCATCCTCCTCAGCATGAAAAATTGAGGGGCACCCCTCTCCCCCACCACCACCTCTTACAAGAAAATCAGAGAACACAGCTGACTTTAACTCTTGCCATCGAACCATTTGGTGTTTAGTCGAAGATATGTAAAATGAAACGATTTATGTGTGAACACTCCTTACCTTTGTTTGAAATATTTTCCTCATTAGCCACCTCCACAATCTCCTCTGTTTCTTCAACAGCAATCTCGTGTTCGTGGGCTCTGGGAAAAATAACACACAATGGGCCCTTCAATTCAAAGAAGATAACTATTTAACAAAAATTACGAATGATGTTATCAACTTATACTACCAGTAAAACTCGTTGCAAAAGTCGTTGATGTAATCGATACATTGATTATGAGTAAGAGGAACAGAAGTCGATCTCTAATAATTTGCTAAACCTTATTATAGAAATATCTGGTAGGTTTAACGTACAGATTGTCCACGGTTTTTTCTGCTCCTTCTCCAACCTTCATGAAGACTTCCTCAAGGGTTGTAACCGACACTCCAAAACTGGTTATTCCATACTCGTCCATCTTATCTGGAAAAGAAATGAGAAGGGAAAATTCATGAAAACGATTCCCGTTGTTCTGACTGGCCATTGCAATCGCTTTGGTTCTAGTGTTACGACGATGAGTGTAAAACCGTTCTCGCTGGGGTGGCAAAAGCAAGCCAATATTTGCGGGTTGATCTTCCTGCGTGTATAAATGACCTGACTGCCCCCACTAACAAACATCTAATTCTCTCCAATTTTGTCAAATTCACGACTCTTGCGAACAACAAAGCAACATGAATTGTAAAACCCCTTGCAAAATAATGATACTGCAAGAGTCTCGAAATTCAAAAATTTCTGTGAGGAGTCTGGACCAACCTAACAATAGAAGGAGCCTTCAAAACTTCTCGTTTGATGGCCCAAACCACCTCAGTATTCGTACCGCATGTTAATGAAACCATAGCCGTTGTGTTATAATCATTATGTGGAACTAAATAACATAATTGTTCTCGTACTAACTTTCTATTTCTTGAAAGAGCGCTTCAAACCCACTGGAGTGTTCACTGCTCAAGACAAACTCCATTTCAGCACCAACACTACTGAGCAGCTGTGCACTGGGCACATGGTTGATAATCAAGCTCGTCACTGCATTCTCATTGCAGTTTTCTTTCTTCACAAGTGTCAAGTGATATCCAACACCATACCTTAATAACAAAAATAGTAGCAAAAAAGAGATTCACTATTGGTTAATCCCTTTTATTATTCAAGACAATAAAAGGGATTATTCAAGATGGAAGAGAAGAAGAGGAGGAGTAAGACCTCGAGCAAAGATGATGTCAGGGTTTAGTCTTAAATTTCTTCAGCGGAGTGAAAGAAATGGCCTATGGCCCAGTTAGTAGAAGCCAGAAATTACGCGTCAAAAACTGAGATACTGATAGCTTTGAAATTCGAACTATAAAAATATCAGAGAGCATTACAGGAAGAATTGATTCAGAGCTAACACCTTTCGATTTAAATTTTATATGATGACTTCAGGTCTATAAAATTTCTCCTTTGAGAGAGGGGCCTAGGACCAAGAACAATTTCAAGTCGGCCCCTGGGAAGTGAGAGAGGGAGGAGACCTGCTGAGGAGAGGTCAGTTTCCTACATGTTCCACATTGACGATAGTGGTGATTGATAACACTGCAAACTTATTGTGTAGTGTGATCAACTGGGCGAGATTACCCATAAACAGGAATGTTGTTGCCAACAAAGACTCATTTTCCACAAAATATGTCATCATCAGCCGTTAACTAGAGAATCAAAGGTGACATTTGAGTCTGGTTTACTGAAGACAAAAAGTTTGCCAAAAAACTGAAGACAGAAAATATTGTGATTTACCTGCCCTTGAGAAACAAAGAACTGCCACAACATCGAAGTTGCCCATCTGCCATGATGGCAATTCGGTCTCCAAGGAAATCAGCTTCATCCCTTAAAACCAGTGATAGAAACAAGGAATATTTAGCACAGAATTTATATCACTATATTGATTGTTCTCTAGAACAAAGTTGGTCCAGAAAGGTAATGGCCAATCTGTTCTCTGTCCTTACTGTAACGATTCCTATTTAGTGCACATGGCTCATTTACAGGGAAACTTACATGAAGTGAGTTGTCAAAATGATGGTCTTTCCTGCTTTGTGCTTCAGCAGCAGGTCCCATGTTCCTCTTCTGGCATATGGGTCCATTCCTGAGGTGGGCTCATCCAAGAACACAGTTTGTGAACCTCCAATTAGTGCAATAGCACAGCTGTGAAGAGAATTGAACTTTTCTAACCTTGCCCAAACAATGGTAAAAGATCTTAAGAGAGTGACTGTATTTACCGCTAAACATTTCAAACCGAACGAAAGTTTACCAAAAACAGAAGACGCTGGCGCTAAAGCTCTAAAACTTTGACCAAACGTAGTAAGCACGCTGAAATTCACTTAGGGAACTTATCCCCTAGATATAGCTTAAATGACAACTTAACAAAGTTAACTGACACAATCTGGTCATGCACGCTTCTCTGATCAGCAATCAATTTCACAAGTGCAGTTGTAGATAATTGTAACTGCATCATGATTGGATCTTTAGTTCTCACAGAACTTCCATGAGTTAAAAATATTATTCAGCGGACCTGAGTAGTTTTATGGCAGTTTCTGACCCCAAGCCTTTCATATCCTCTTTCTGATCCCATCAGTGCTGAAAGTTGCCTACAATGAGAACTTGTGGTGGGGTTGAGGGGGTTTACTAGCCACCCGCGCCATCTTTAGGACACAGTGAAATTCATCTAAACCCAAGGCAGCCGTCTTTCAATTTAAGTGGGAGTCAGCTACTTAACAACTTTACAACAAATTTACCACAGTTTCCGTTTCATCCCACCAGACAGCTTAGAGGAGGCCCAGTTTAATTTGTCAGTCAGCTGAATGTCATTGATCATCTGAAGCACTTCAATCTCAGCTTCTTGCCCAAATGTTCCCTAAAAGTCACACAATTAAAAGTAGAAATTCACGAAGTGTACCTCTGCCACTAAAAAATTATTGGACATGTACATGTAATGATATTTCTTAAGTCCCTACGGTTTTGATAGTTTACATTATGTACCCAAGATCCACGATTTTGTTGCAAATTTGACTCTCAAGCTCAAGATGTGAGACTTGGCAAGCAACTGATCCTAAGTTATCTACATCTTCAACTGGCAATTGAGTATATCTGCTGACAGCATTAAGACTTTCAAACCATTTCATACCTTCAAGTTGATGAAGAATGTCAGATGTTCTTTAACTGTCAGCCTGTCAAAAAGAACATTATGTTGAGGACAGAGTCCCAAACTCTCGCGGATACCCTCCATGTCAGTGAGAATACTTTTGCCGTTGATATGGGCAGAACCAGCAGAGGGTGGAAAGAGCCCAGTTAGGATAGACATGGTAGTGGTCTTTCCTGCTCCATTGTGGCCAAGCAGTGCTGTAATCTGACCTTTATATATGTTCAGGCTGAGTCCATCCACAGCAACCTTGGACCCTTTTGAGCCCTTATAAAACAGATAACGCAAATGCATCAAAACACAAGAACATGTAAAAATTAACACTTTGTGAGCTGGAAAGCCACTTCATCGTATTAAGTGGAAGATATGGTGTTTCAGTGGTTAGGGCACTGGACTCTGAGTCAAGAGATCTGGGTTCGAGACCTTTCCAGGTCATCACATTGTGTTCTTAGGAAAAACACTTTACTCTCACAGTTCCTTTCCACTCCTCCCATGACTGTACTGGCAGATTACCAGGGAAGCCTAATGAAATGCAGCAGGATAACTTTGCGATGGACTGGCATTCCATCCAGAGGGGAATAGTAATACTGCTAGAAGCTTCATGCTATGGAAACTTGGATAAACTTTGGCTGGGATGAGCTTCTTTGCTCTAGTACATGCTTTACCTTCATTACATTAAACTACTGACTTTAACTTCCACTAAATATTGCCTACATGTACCTTGAACACTTTCCTAAGATCTTTTATTCCCACACCAATAGGCAAGTCATGTGTTTCCTTTTCAATGGCTGGATTATCAGAATGCTTGTCCACTGTATTTAATTCCTACACCACAAGAGGAAAAAATAATTATAATTATTTTCAATAAAGAGAACAGGTTTACATTTCACTTTTAATTAATACTAATTGACTTGTGGACCAGTACGAAAAGAAAATTGTTTTCACCAACACAGATTTTATCATTGAATAATTTGAAACCACTTCTTCTTTTTTTTTTTTTGAAAAGAAGAACTCCTTAAAGTAGGTAAAGCAAATTGGCACAGGAAAATTTTCTTCAAAATAATTTGCCAATTATTTTCACAATTTTTTTTTGTAAATCCCCTACCTCACCTCCATTTCTTGCCCTACCCTCAACCTGACCCCAATCCTACTTAATCTGTTTTAACTTGTATGGCAGGGGTTCATGAAAAAGCATTGTGTTTGGTATAAAGCAATTACACCCTGACACAAATATGAATCTTCTCCATATTCTCCTCTGTCCATTTTGTTAGGTGCTGACAAGGAGAATTGGTTTCATAATCAAGAGTTTCTTTACTTAGTGATTATTTCCTCCATTCTCATTACCTTAAGATGTGATTCAGGGGTGATATTGTGAGGAGAAATTAGCTGCTAATCACTATTATGAGTCAATAGGTGAAGTTGGTACAATTTTTCTCTGAAAAGAAACTACTCAGTAGTAGAAATACTGTGTACCTGTTCAGCTCCTACTTGAACAACTTTGTCACTGGAAACTCCACACCAGTAGGACTTTGTGAAGGGGAAGTAAAAAGGTTTGGGGATTCCATAACTACCAGGAAATACAGCCTCAACATACCTACAAGTAAGGAGTGAAAGATTGAAGTGTAACAAGTACCTCTGACAACTAACATTTTGGTTCATCACTAAAATTATCTTGAAAGTTAGACCAAGGATTTAAATCATTCTGTTTCCGATCTTCTATCTTGAAAAATGGAGTGTTTAAATAATCATGCAATTTCTCATCATCACCTGCGGTAAACAAAGGTGAAAGACAGTTTTAGCCATCTACACATTTCCCCTTTTACTGACAGCTCTAGCATAAACATGTGACAATTAATACAGATTGAACTTGTCATAAAGACAAGTTGACAGGACACGCATCCTGCATATGCAGGACACATGTCATATGAAGTTCGTAATAGACCTCACTCATGGTAGAGTCTCTATGGCTTCATGGTAGAACATCGAAGCGTGGAATCTGAAGGTCTTAGGTTTGATTCCTCATGGGGACTAAGAATTTCTTCTTTGTCCCATGCTCGTGACAAGGCAAAAAAACATCTTTTTTAAAAGTACCATAATGTTCATCACACTCTTTCTAGATTTCTTTGGCTACTACATCTTACTTGCTTGCATATACTTATAGCTATAATACTTTATAATTATACAGTACAGCTTTTCTCTCAACAGTACTGCAAATAAAACCAACATACCAGGTGATTACTCCAAAGATAAGACTCTGAATTATAAGCATTCCTAGAACCATATCGAAGCTGAAGTCATCATCAGGGTCAGGAGATTCAGATACTCGGCTCCAGGTCAGTCCCACCTCTCTAATCTCAAATTTGGCAATGATGCGGGTTGCAATTCCAAGGCAAGTGTTTGGCAAAAGGCAAGCAGCAGCCTTCTCAGACCTGTGGTAATAAACAACAGTTCTGCTAACACCCTTTCACTCTCAGGTGTGACCAAAAAAAAAGGTCTCTTGTTGATACCACTATTAACCTTAAGTGACAAGAAGACAGAACCACATCAAAAAGGGAACAGTAAGCCACTAAAAGAGAAAATTAAAGGAAATGTCTGGCAGTCAGTGCAGAGAACTAGCTTTTTAATTCTTGGGTTGAATTATGGTCAACTTAACTTCACCTACATGTACAAGTACTAATAAATAACTCACAGCTAGAAGATGCATTGTCACAGTGATGATAGCATACATGTACTAGACTGTGGATCAGATTCTCAGGGCTTGAGCCCTAGTTTGGTCAGTGTGATGTGCCATGAATTGGAAAGACACTTTATTTAAGCATGGTCTCTGCTCACACTCAAGGAAAGAATTTGTGGGAAACTTTAAGAATTCTAAAGGGGAAAGGTTTGGGTTACTTGTGAATTATCCCATCAAAAATTCATAATATCACCCCTCAACGGTACTATAAGTTCTGGCAGTTAAGGTTTAGCAATTATTAGCCCTGTGCAACCAACTGTTTTCCTTCAGTTTGTTATCTGTATACAGTATTAACTGGGGTTTTTTTTTAAAGATATGGTGGTTATATACATTAACATAAACACTGTATGAAAACCTGTACCTTGACAAAGCCTCATATGCCTCTTGCTGAGCAAACGTCTGATAAGGAACCAGAGTACAATACCAGGCTACTGCGCCAAACAGCATGGCCACAGTTGGTCTTGAGAAGAAAACACTGGAAATGGCAAATTTAAAGGTTAGGTTACTCAGATTACCCTAGACGTATACCTTTCCGAGGATAATCAACCCTATACTTTCACTGCTATCAAGTATGTTATAATACACTTATGAGAACAAATAAGTACTTACCTCAATGCAAAACAGAACATAATGCTTGCTATCATGTACAGTAGAAGAAATACGAAGATAAGTAAGCCATCGGAGAACTCAAAAATTTTAAATCCCTGTAGAGAAGGTAATTTTTAATTAGCATAATTATGTGCTCTGACTAAAATACCTCATCACCACAAATGCAGGATTAATTACAAGATACCTGATAATATTCAAAAATAAAAATGTCAAACAGATGTCAAAATTATATTCTCACCTTCAAGAAGACTGTGGCTATAATTATTGATATAAGCAGAAACAAGAGGTCTTTGGTGAACCAAGCAAGCCAGTGGATCCAGTTTGCAAGTCCCATCATTTTCATGGACTCTTTCAAACGCTGGTTCTTCTCAAAAACTAGCTCCTGTAAAACCGAAAAAGAAATTTATCTCAATAAAGGTCATTTCCCTTTTTTAACATGGATATCAATAAACGGTTCAGGTATAGTTGGTAACAATATCACTGACCTTTATAACACTCATGGCAGAATACATGAAAGCTAGAGTCATGAGCAGGGGGAGGAGTCCCTCCACTGTTGCTATGAAGAAGTTCTCAGTGTACTTTGGATAGGGAAATTGCTGAGCAAGAAAAGTATTCAAAATCACAATTGTTAGGCATACATACGCATGTATTGGTGAAAATATGTTACTGTGATAGAGAAAACCAAATAGAAAGAGAATGCCATTCATCTACAGCGTAGATGTAGCAAAGATGATTTACAGGTAACAAAGAGAGACAACTTAGAGGAAAAAATAAACACTTATTCAAATAGTCCAGTTCCTTTGGTGCCAGTTTGTCATCATTATCAAATACACATTGAGTAAACTTTGTGGGGACTTCATTACAGTACATGTAGTTTAGGTGTCAAAAAAATTAAAATCAAGAGTAAAATTACAACTTGCCTTAATTACTTCTTACTCAAAAAATTTTTTTCTCCATGATATGACAACAATGTTTATTCATTTGAGAAGTCATGTACTATGCAATATTCTTGATATTTCTTGTTGAGTGTTTATCTCCTTTGGATTGGATTAATTTCTGAGCCTGATTGCACTGAAGATAAACTGCAGCCATAATAATTATGACATGGCTAGTAACATTACACTGTATTTCAAACATTTATGCCATAAAAATACCTGCAGTTTGAGTGGAATTTGTTGACTTAGGTTTGCCTGTTCTTGAATAATAGCCATATCAACTGCATACTGTACCAGCACAAAATGTGATGAATATCCTTTACAACATTGACTGACAAAAAAAGAGAACAATGTAAGGTCAATTTATAAAAAGTGTTTTGAACACTGATCAAAATGACTATTAATACTGATTTTGCCATAAATTCTCAGTTGTTCACTGTGCCTTTGGAGAATACACTAGAAAGTACAGTCACATCTTTCCATGTTCTAGTGAGGGTACTGTTAAATTAGAGATTTTTAAATCCAAATGATAATGATGATGATGCTGCTGATGATAATGATAGTGAGGGTTATGATAATGATGATGATAATGATAATGAGGATGATAATGATAACGATGATGATAATAATAATGATAATGATAATGATGATGATAATAATAATGATGATGATAATGATGATGATAATGATGATGATGATGATGATGATGATGATGATAATGATGATAATGATGACAGTGAAGGAGGAAGGATATTGAAGGAGCCATCTCCTAGGCATTTTTATTGCCAATTTTAACATTTCTCCATATCAGCCTTTAGTTATTTAATGCTATATTTTAGCCTTAATAAATCTTACCTATTTCAATCAAAGTCAACAGATTTTTAAATATATTTTGTTTTTTTCCCTTAGCAAACATATTAGTTATGTATTTATATTGAAAATTTTATTGTTATTAACATATGTATAAGATATAGAATTACAGATTCCACTGAAAATAGATTTTAGTACTTGAAAAAAATATATTTCTAATGAAAATAATAAGAATGATTACTGTGATAAACAATTTTTTTTATGATTATGTAGCAACAAATATTTATTAGCTTCAATTAGCTCATGTATTTACCCATCTTCATCTACCCTGGGTCCTACAGCCTGAAAGTTTGGGTAGGTATTTTCTGTCCTCCAGCTTTTCCGGCTGCCACTAATAGTATGTGAAAATCGTAGGCTATACTTGATCTGTTTAGGAAGTTCTGTGGCATCTTTGCTGATTTTAAAGTCCACAACTAGGAAGAGATGCCAAAGGTTTCAACAAAACATCATTGTGTAACAAATCTCATTAAGGTGTATTTTTCAAACCGTTATAATTACAATTTATTTTGAATCTGCAGTGCTCCAGTTGTAGGCTGCAACCATTATATATGAATATACAACTTCTCCATACTGTTTTCTTCTCATTTCTTATGGTGCTGGCAAGGAGAAATATTTTAACAATCAAGAGCTTTTTTGGTTGGTGATCATTCCCAATATCTCATGACCTTGACATGTAATTAAGGGACGGTTTGATGACTGAGGAGGAATTAGTTGTTAGTCACTCTTAGGATGAAAGGTTTACCAGTAACTGGTTTAATGATGTACATGAAAAATTGAGCTCTTCTTATGTAACAATGAGCACAAACTTATTACAACAGAAGTGCAGATTACAAATAGCATGCACGTGGCATGCCTTCAAAATTTCCTATCTTGCCTTCCTGTGACATACATTATCAGTAATAACCTGATTTCTTGAGCAATTTGGTGTAATAATTTTAAAAGCACCTGAAATTTTTTCAAAGACTACAAATTGCACTGGCCCTATACAGGCTCCTGCAATGTTGTTGTCTTTGAAACATTTACTTGTGCTTATTAACATCAAATTGCAATCGAAATCACCTTATTACCTCAATACACTAAAATCATCTTGATCAGAAACTAATGACCACATGCATATCATCAACACTATCAGTACCTGCATAGTATTCCTCATGCTGTGAGGCTTCATCAGCCAGTTCTTCAGCAGAAGACCAGTTCTTCTTGTGGAATATGCTGTTGTGGACAACCTTTAACCCAGTGATGCTTGCCACTCTGTTCATGACTTTTCTCACTAAAGGATAATATTAAAAGAACATTAAGAAATGGAAAAAAATTTCTACAAAATAGGATCTATATAATTATTGGAAAAACTGAAAAAATTTGCCTGTGCTATTATTCATGTATATAGGTGAACATTGTTATCCATACCGTAATAAACAATCTGCAAAAGAAGACACTGCTCTCTGAGTGAACACTTCACGAATGAGAGGCTAGGGAACTAGGCAGACTTTAAACTTGACATGATAAATGCAATTAATCCCCTATAGATATTGCATTTATCGTGTCAATTTCACTCAATATTGATTGAATTCTCTTGACCAATAAGATTTTCATAGTACATGTAGGTCTAATGCATAATAATTATAAATTTAAAATAAGTTAAGGTAATATTTAATGAACCGCTTTTTCTCCACACTGAATATATCAACACTTAACCAAATTTGTCAGTGTGCATTAATATATCCTGGGTTTAATAAAGCATATGATGCATGTCATGATCATGATCATGCAAAATATTTTCACAGGCTAACCAGCTTATGGCTTCAACCACAGCCCAACACTCAGTGGGTTTCCTGTGAGGTAACAGAAAACTGATGTTTTTACCCTTTAAAACCCAGACTAAGTTTGTAATTCTCCTTACTGTCAACCACACAATTCTTCTCAATGTTAGTACAGAGAATTTAGTATTGGATCAACTAATTATCCCCAAATTGATATTCTTCTTTATTCTTATCACTAATCTGGTTTACATTGTATGGATCTTGTAAGGAGAAATTCTGTCTTGGTCACTCATGGTACTTAAAAAGGTTAACCAACAACCGCTAAATGCATACCTGGAGGGGATGTCGGATAATAGGCAAGATACGTCTTGTTTTCCACTTTCTTCCTCAGGAAGGCTGTCACTGCTGTGCTGTTACTTAAACTTAAATTCTTGGGTGGATTTCGGTAAAGATCCTTCCTGGCATCTTCGTTAATTAAACTGTTTACAATTCCTGCTGGTATATTTTTTGATGGTAATGGTTCAAAAGTGCCTGTAAAGAGCAGAATTTTTTTTAATCACGTAAAGTTAACTGTCAAAGTATTTCAAAAGACCAATTGACTCACATCAGGCAAAATAAATATATTCATCCACCAGAGGAAATCAATAAAAGAGGAGTGTTTAACTTTCAAAATAAGGAAATTAGTGTAGAGTTTCATGAAATCTAGATAAGCTTGTCTACAAAATCTGCAAAAAATTTCACTAAAAAATATTGATTATGATCTGCAGGATGTACAAGCCCATAAAGCCAGACCAAAAATTGGTAAGGAAGTAGCAGTGATCTTAATTGTTGTACATTAAAACTTACTAACTGCAAGATTAAGATTATCATCATCATCAGATTATGTGAAGAGAGTGAACTGTGTAACATTGCAGTTTTTGCTTTGCATTTTCTTTTTTTTTTTCCTTTTTCAGAAACTTCCTTCATTTAAACCAGCTAAGAATCATTGACAATGTTGAAATCTCTGTATCACCTGTTGATTTCACATTTTTAAATACTTGAAAGAAAATCATGTAAAAAAATTTACTTCAGAGAGGTTGAGCTAGTCCATGTTCAAATGGGCCAAATTACAAATAACAGCTTTTAGATAAGAAAAAAGCTCTTTCAGCTCAGCAAGATGACATTCAAGAGTCCTACGAAAAACTTTTCTTATGTTTGTAGAGTTAAAAACAGATCTAGTGCTATTACATTGACATTTAGTAACAATTCAGTTTCAACTTGTTATACTATTGTTTACACACGTACTATAAAACCGAGAAGGTAAGCACTTGACCAGCTCCTGCATTTAGTTCTGTTGTTCTGAACACTGTATATCACTGGCAATTTAACTTTTTTAAATTGTTCCAGTAAAGTTTAAATGTAATTTACATCATTTTAATCAGTATAGGCTATTTTCAATTATTTTAGGTCAAGACATCTGTCAAGGTTATTTTAGGTCATTTTAGGTCAATTTAGATATCACTTAAGGTCATTTTAGTCATTCTAGAAATTACTCAAGGTCATTTCAGGTCATTTTAGCTCATTTTGGATCATTTTAGATCAGTTTAGGTCATTCCAGGTCATTTTGGGTCACTCCTCATTAAAGTAACTAAGTGACTCATCAACATAGTTAGACGGAGCAATTTAGAATAAATTACTGTGGAATTCCTCTTTGTTGTTGGCATTTTAATAAAGGCTTAATGTTTAATTTGACATAATACACAAATCTAAACATAATTATTGTATTTAAGTCTCACATCGAAGGCATTAATTTTACATTACATTTATTTTATGAATTTATTTTGACCTGAATTTATTTAGTAATAAATTATCCTACTTACTGAAACAGAAGTCTTCTGTCTTTATGAACAACCTGCAGGAAGAAAAAAAGAAATTTTTGAATTAGAGGAATGAATCTATAATTGTACATGCATAAATGAATAACGGCTTTTGGCTTAAACCTTTACATCTTACACATCAACATGCATATTCTCCATACTGCTCTCTATACATTTTGTAAGTAGCTGACAAGGAGAATTTGCAATAATCAAGAGCTTCTTTGGTTGGTGGATCATTTCCTCGATTCTTATGATTGAATTATGTGATCTAGAGATGAAACTGTAACCATGGTGAAAATAAGAGTAGTTTGGGAACTAGCAAGTGGTTTATGGACGTCCATGTATATACTGCAAAAAGTTATTTCGTGCAGGTGTTCAGCTCACTGGAAGTAAGACCATCTTTATAAAGTGACGGATAATTCCTTCCTGTCATCCATGGACTTAAACATGTCAAGTTTTTTATTATTAAAGCAAGAGAGGTTTAAATCTACATAAATTAATCGTCCGTTTGGCCAAATGAAAAAACATCTTCCATGTCTTGTGTAAATGATTGACAATTTTTTCTTTCACAAGAGTGCCCTACCCACTGACAGTCCCTCGGAGGTTTCAAAGAGGAATTCGAAATACTTGTATCAAACTAAAATATAATACTTTGATGAAATATCAGATTTTCTCCTGTTTCGAAAAATGTGATATCTTCATCGCATCCAATGAATGCATCATTTAAATCCTCAAAGGTGAAAATGACAGTCATCATGGTTACCAGGTTTATGAAATTACCTGTTTTACTTCCATCTAGGGGGGTTTTTTAATTTGCAAACACTATTTATATTAATGGTTGAGTTCAATTTCTTTTGGGAGGAAACACTTCTTGTAATGATTAATTATTTTCTTCGTGGTTGGATGTTGAAACACTCAAGAGATAAAATTTGTATTCACACACGGCCATGTAGAATTATCCTCTTGAAAATCTACCTCGCAATGTGCTCACAGCTGTGTTAGAGATAAAATATAATCCTCTAAAATTTGGCTTCTCTTATTGCTGAGCTTATTTCTGGTTTTAGGTCAAAATCAGACTACTAATTACCTTTAAGTTTTATCATTTTATGACAGAGAAGGAGAAATTTAAGACCTCTGCCATTATTATCTCAGCGAACAACAACTTAAACAATTTATTATGTATTATGATTTTGTGGATGAAGGAAGTTTTGGGAAAGGACTGCTGTCACCAAGATTGAATGACATTTTTAAAATGTAGACGGAAGTTATCATCAGCCTGAGGGGTAAAATTAGATGGTGTTCTAAACATCTGTTCACTTCGCTACGGGGAAGGATAGAATATCTCACAAGTATCTGGATACACAAAACATTCACATCAAAAAAAGATTTAATATAACCTTGTAAACTCATATTTCAAGCACAAAGTGATCATCAGACTCAAGTTGTTTTCTACCCCCAAAGAAACCTGGTTTCAAATTTACATGTGAATCACTCGTGAAATTCCTTTTTCTGAGCTTGATGGAAACGAAAGTGCTGACTCATGGTGGCATTTGTTGACTGCATGGTTCGAATTTCTTATTGAGGAAGTTGACATAGCAGACGTTTAGATATAATTTATATACATGTATTTATAGTTGCCAGTAACAATAAGATTGTGAGGTAGTGTCATATATAGTTAGTGAGGGAAAAGCTCAAGTCAAATATCACATATAGAACTCCAGAGCGATTAATCTTAAATTGTCCGTGTAATTTTTCAGGCTTCTTTTGTACAACTGCTCGTTGTTGTCCATCTGCAAGGATCGTTGCTTTGCTTGACAGTTTTGAATAAGTAAGCCTTGTTAATCAATCAATTCAAAACAAACTATATTTTAATCTTTTTCTCGTTGTAGGGGAAAGCTTATATATTTGTTGCAGCTTAGCCTTACATGCTCAATTTTGTAGCTTACTGAATCCATGCAGCTATAAACGTGAAATATCAGATATCATTGGGGGTTCAATATGCGTTAATGGTGTTCATTCATAACTCCTCGTTGACTAGAAATCGAATGTTGCTTTGATCTTTTTAACATATGAACTGCAGCTGTTTGAAGAATATTTTATTTTTCAGTTGTAACTCTGCGGCTTGTGGCCTTATCGGTAAAATTTTGTGCATACGAATGCATCTTTCGATCACCCAACAAGTTCCGTATGGTGTAATGGTAGAAACTTAGAGGATCGTTTACGTACCTAGGATGTACTCTAGACTTTAGAAACCGTGAGGCGATATGATCTTTCTCGTCCAATGAACTGAAGCTTATACCCGAGTATACATCGTCAAAATATTGCTATATTGGGCTGAGAAACATTGTTTGCGGTGAACATAGTGGACTCTCATGATTTCAATTATCTGGGTGAGCGGCTTGCAATATTCACGTCTGCATGCTCTTGGGTATTCGACTTTTAAATGTTTTAAAGTTTCTCGTGTAACAGCGATTCTGATTTCTGTGCAATGGTGAAGATAATCACAAGTATTTTAAACCTGAAGGGTGATCTATAAAGCGCTGATGAGGATTCAAGCAATTAGTGATTTTCTTAAACGTAATATTCTCTCACCACGGTTTCGTGCCGGTTTGTCGATCGACACACCATAATAACAATTAGATTCGCCGATCGCAGTGCGCTGTATAGTTGTAAAATATTATCTTTTCATTTTCAAATTGACTTGTTCAGCTGTTCTTCCATGTATCGCTTGGATAGAGAATGGCGATTTGTCCTCTTTAGACAAAATCTTCAGCAAATATAAATTACGTAATGTTTCTAAAAACGCCGATCACGATGATTGCAACTTACTTTGGTAGGATTAAAACTCCTATGAGAAGAACGGGCAATAAGAGCTCGAATACTGTTCCTATCGGCCGACGAACCTACAAAGCAAATAAAAAGAGAGCGAAACAAATTGTGAGCAGCGACTGCAGTGAACAAGAGGACGCCAGATACACCATTAGTTGTGCAGATTTCACCAAAGAAATCACTGCATCACAAACCTGCAAAATGAAGTTTTTCCACAGCAGCAAACGAAATTGTCTAAAACGATTAGCCATGGCCGAAAGAAAACGAAAAATTGACCCAAAAGTTAGGACGTCATTTCCATCGTGTATTCAGCAGACTAAGGCGGAACTACGTTGAGGTGTTCGCTTTTTATTTATGGCCCACTAGCGCATGACTGACGTGTTTAAAATTCAAGATGGCGCTCGTAAGTACACCTGTCTACTCAAGCGGAAAATATCACAAATAAACTGTGGCGGTGGCTTTAAAAGTACTGGGAAAATGTGTGATTTGCTTTGTTGTTAGCTAAACATAAATTTAATTTTGCACACTGTTAAGAATAAGGACATTTTAAATATTGTATTTTCTCTTCCAAATTAATTCTAGTCCCTTATGTTCAGCAGTTTGTTTTGGTTACCGAACAGGACATGTATTGTTCCCGTTGTCAAGTGTTACATGGCCTTATCAAAGAAGTCTTCATTAGCATTTAAAATTACGATAATTATAGTTATGATTCTAGCGAGTTGAAGCGCAATGCATCAGCATTTGAATAAACGTATCTGTTCTCCATTACAGCTTACCAAATTCCTCAATAAAGTAAATCTGCTGAATTTGACGAGAAAATCAATAACGCAGCTATGTTTGAGAAGTAAAATTCAATCCCGCGTCAAATTTCTTAATCATCCTTAGGGTCTTTATGGGTTTTTTTCAACCTCTTAACAAGTCATAAGCAAATACATGTGTTTACCTACGTAGTTTTTAGTGACTACTTATAAAAAAAAATAGGTTCAGAAAATCCACTTCCCACAAAGATTAGAATCGTCTTTTTTTTGTGCGAGAGCTTCCCACTTGCACCTTTTGGACAACACAGGTTGAAAAATATATAGATATACATATATTATGCAAACTTTCATAAACAAATATACTGAATGAATAATATCCAGTCCAGAGTCAATAAAAAAAACTTTATTTTTAATGTGCAAATTTTTTACGCGTACAGAACTCTTCTTATGGCATGACTCATCAGAGTGATATAACAGACAAAAAAAAGCGATCTGTAGCAAATATTCGTGAAAATATATTTACGAGTTTTTGTCTTAAAAATATAGTTGAGCATCATTGTTATGTTGTTACAAAAGTATAATTTGCGGTGTTGCTTTTGACAAAATTATTTCAATTTTTAGAAATATTTTTAATTCAGATAAACATCGCTTTTGTGTGCAGGGTTTTTAGTAGTCACGATAGATGCATTCAAAGAAATAATTTTACAGTCATCAGAACCGTTCGATCGGGTCAGTCGAGATTTCATGTTGAATTTCAAATTATTCTATGTTCAGTCATTTTCAAATTTTCCTGTAGTAGTAATTATAGAATAAGCGCCGCCCTTCATTTGGAATATTTCATAAAAAGTGAGTTTAAAGTTGGCAACAAGAACACTTTAACTGCGTAAAAAACCGAAACGCAAAAAGAACAGTTGTAAGCTAGGGTTATCATTAATACACATACAACTTCCTCCACATATTCGATTTTTTTTCTCAAACAGTCCGAGCAAATTTGTGCAATCAAAAATAAAAAAAAAAACTGTCAAATATTGCAGTGCCAACTTGTTGTGGCTTTTTGGCAAAACTATTGAACGTTTATCTGAGCGGTACTTTTATTTTGAAACACCAGCAGAATTGCGTGTCTTAACTATGTAGATAATCATGTTAAATGATATTCTTATGTCATCAGCTTATACTGATATGGTTATCAGTCATTTCGTACCCTCGGACGTTTCGTACCTAGTCGATTTGTACCAAGCTCAGACTATATTCAAACCCATTTTATAACATAGCTAGTAAATTTGTCTAATCAAATTCAATTGCGCGAGCGTGCTTCGTATTCCTATTGTGCACGCTCATGACGTCAGCAAACAAACCCCTCGAGAAAAAGATTTTCCATCGAGTTGAAAATGTTATAAAACAATTGGTTCATACGTCAGCTGTGTGTTCATCGAGATATGAAGCACGCGGGAAGTTTGGAGAGCACGAAAGATGCGTAAGAGTTGCTCGAGGCGTAGCCGAGAGCAACTCTAGCTTCTTGAGTGCTCTCCAAACTTCCCGCGTGCTTCAAATCTCGATGAACGCACGCTAACGTATGAACCAATTGTTAACTGTGTAGTCGTTTTGTTGGTTTAGAGAATTTAGTATTGAATCAACTAACAGTTCCCTAATTGATATTTTTTCGTCTTTCTCATCATCTGTTTGCTTCACGCTGTTTTAGTATTGTAAGGAGAAATTCTATTTTGGCCACTCATTGGAGTTACAGTTGTAAATAACAATGTAGTCTGAGTTAAATAAGTTTTGTTTATGTGGCGTCCAATTTAATGCGCGACCACCGAACTTAATGCCGATAACTCGGAAAATACGTGGTCTGATGTTGCTGTTGTTAAGAAGGTCACTCGTATCTACGGCAGAGTTTAACGTTTATCTTACACGCGTGACTCTTTATTAACTTGTTGTAGGCAACCATCGCCGCGATATGCTCACGCGCTCAAGCGTGAGGTATTTTGTGAGATCTCCTAACGGTTTGATCGTCACTAAATGTTAGGTCGTGTATGAATCGACCGGCAGGTTGGGTACGAACCGAATCAAACTGGGTGCGAATCGTCTGAATTTGGTTACGAATCCACTAGTAACTTAAAATCGTCCGTGAGGACGAAACTACGTGATACCATTGATATTTATTTCTATCTATCACATTAGTTACGCAACATACCGTCATCACATGATGCTCGCGTGGGCAGTCAGGTGATTCCAACTCGTTTTCGTTTCTTTACATGAATACTGACGTTATGGTACCAGGACTGGAAAATATATCATTAATCTTTAGCAAACAAAATTTCTCTTAGAGGTTCCGCCAACGTTCCTTTAGAAGCAACATAAGCGTTCTATCGAGCTCTTTTCTCTGAATAGCTCCCATCCATATTCTCGTACCTAGACTTTCACGGCTATTTGAGTTACAGTTACCGATTGGATCTGGGTATGAGATTATCCCATCCCCAATAGACCCAATCAGCCTACCTTCCCTAACAAACCCCTGAGGCGCTAGTCAGAGTGGTTGCATTGTTTTAAGGAGATGCTTACCTTCTCAATTACTTTTCCCCCTCTACAAAAACGGCTGCGTTGGTTAACAGGCATCTTGAATATTTTTCCCTAAAGAGGATTTTTCTCATTGGAACAGGTATGCTGCCTAGCTGTCCGATCTTTCAGCAAAGGAAAAACCTTAAATAGAGAGATCGGCCTAAAATATATTCTTATAAAAGAAAGTTCCTATGCTGGAAAACTTATACATCATAACTTTGTCAGGGTATGCAAAATATGAACGACAAGGAAGGCGGGGGAAGGGGCTGAGAGAGGGGTAAGTTTTGCTGAGGTCTGCCCCAGTCTCGTACCCAGAACGTTCACGTCGAGGCGATCCTATATTTCAGTTACAGCTGCTCGATAGAATCTGGGTACGAAATTAGGTCTCCATTCACATCCCAACCCTGTTCAAAGTCCTATGCGAAGAAGAGGGAGCGTGTAAAAGGGAAAGGTAAGAGAATACTGAACTTGATATTCTCTTAGGAGAGGTTAGTATTTTTTTTTCCAAGATGGAGATGCAGGATCACGCAAGCCAGAAAAAATATTTCACATTTCCCTCCTCGCAACTAATAACAGCTGTTATAATGGTGTTAATTCATTACTCATTTTATTCCAACCAGACTTTTTCAATACATTCCTCGCATGTACACATAAAAATATCATTGTTGAATGCTATTTACGAGTTTATGGAAAAATATACATATCTATAAAATTTGGATCATTTTGTAAGTTCTTCCCGCGTCAGCGAGACCGACGGCATAATTGAGTATTGAACTTCCACAGAAAAGATTTTGTACACCAATATGGCCGACGTGTATTGTTCAGGTACACCAATGTGGTGAAATTGACGTCATGCGCTCATGACTAAGGAGAAGCTTAGTTTAGAGTATGACGTCACCTGAATGGCATTAAGAACCTCTGGTCAAAGTGGAACGAGTAGAGGTATATTGCAATGTTCTCTGTTGGTTGACTTTTTACAAAATTACATCTCTTTATGTACACATGTTTGTGCTTTCGTGAAGCTTTCACGAACACTATGGTTTTATACTTTTATTTTCAATTTGTATCGCATTAAGCAACAACTTCGCCATTCTTCATGCTTTTTAGGAGTTTCAAAATCATCTTTACGTCGCTGCTAAGAGATTCCACCTCTTTATTTAGATTCAAAACCTGTTTATCTAGTTTTTTAACTGTCTGTTTCGTGTCCGCGAGATCTGTTTGGGTATCTGTTTCAGATGAGCTCAAAATCAACTCCAATTTTTCTATGGCTTCTTTGGTGCTGCAAACGTCTTTAAAAATTTCCTCTAGGTTTCTTGTATGTGTATCCTGGGTCTCCATGCTGTTTTGATCTATCTGTAGCTCCTCTTCGGAAAATCTGTGCTCTGCAATTCCTTCTAGCACAGGAGTTCTTAGACTTAAGTGCGGTTCTGAGAAGCTGGATCGCATAGGCCGAAATAGTTGCCCCTGCTCATCGCTCTCCGGGATCTCTTCCTTTTCGATGCACTCGGTAGAATAAGCCCCAGAGAGACTGGGTCGGTGATTAGTGTTTGAATAGGACGAGATCGAGAACCTTCGTTCGAAGTCGTCATCAATCTCTTTAACGGAATTGCATTCAATTGATGAGTCATCAATTTTCTGGGAAGGATCGCTTTCGAGTTCTCTTTTGGTCATCGATGCTTGAGAGGATAATGTTGATCTAGACATGGGCAAATTTTCCCTCAAAAGACGATCGTTATCTCTGCCACTAAGGCGTCTGAGTTGTTTCTCGGCGATCAGATTTCCAGCGTCTCCGAAGAAGTCCTTTCCTCTATCTTCAGAATTATCTGTGTCAAAATGGTCACTTTTCCTTTCTTCACAGCCATCTTTTTCACTGTTTGGGCTCAATTGCCGATTCTCACATGTCGTGTCATGCGCATGCGGGGCCTCACAATCACACGTGATCGCAGACTCCCGCACAGGTGGTACAAAGTCCTTATAAGGGCTGCTTACGTTTGTAACAAGCGGTGCAAATATCGCAGGGGGTTTAATAGCCCCGGA